TTACATAAATGGTGACCAAACAGTTTGAGACCCACTGAGAACTTAGACTAAGTTAACTATCTAAACACTAAAGAGTCCTTTATCTCACCTGAGCTGAGGAGACGATAGGTTGGGACGTGTCACGTGTGCCGGAGACGATAGGTTGGGACGTGTCACGTGTGCCGGAGACGATAGGTTGGGACGTGTCACGTGTGCCGGAGATGATAGGTTGGGACGTGTCACGTGTGCCGGAGACGATAGGTTGGGACCAGGGTTTCCGTTAGCCGGTAATTACCGTTTTTTAGCTGGTAAAATGTATTAAACACCGGTAAATTCAAAACCTGCCGGTCAAAATGTCCGATAATAATTAGGGATGCTCCGATCGATCGGCCGCCGGTCATTATCGGCCGATATTCACTCGTAATAGTTTGATCAGTGCTCTCTATAAAGGCCGATCAGGAGAGCTGGATCTGATCGATATGGACATATATAGTGAAGTATAACCGGACGAGAGAGAGAGGGAGGGAGAGGGGGAGAGAGGGAGAGGGGGGAGAGAGATCAGATCAGCTGCTGAGTCTGACGGAGACACGCAGCTCTGATCACCTGAAGCTCCGCCCACTGTTTAGCGAGCTGCATGAGGAACGGAGCGTCCACACAGCAGCGTGCGTTGACGCTTGGCGGTGGGCGTGTCTGAAGCTTGGGGAGTCAACGCGACCAACAACCAATCACATGAATCTCCCGCACCCGACATACAAAGCAAAAAACATTCTATGCTAGCTATATATACTGTCTATGCCTGCTAGCTGTCCATTCAATGTTTAAACGAGGTACACTGGATATAAACTCCCCAAACAGGCGAAAACCTACCAGTTTCACCCACTATCTCTGCCACCTCCCTCCATGCCTGGCTCCTCCGGTTTGTATCCTGGTAGATGAACAGAGACTGATCATACAGCACCGGGTGATTCACTACCGCAATGATTATTTTCTCCTCCATTTTATGGAACATGTAGAAATGACCTGCGGTATGGCTCTCGCAGCATACACGCGGTTTGATTGGCTAGCAGTTGTACTGGCAGATTTTCACAAACGGGATTTTATTGGCTGATGCTTCCGTCGAAGAGCAACGCGTAGCTACGCTCCCCACAATGCAGTTCGGCGAAGCGTGACGTCACCCCATTCAAAGTGAATGGGCAGAAGCGTTGAAGCTTCAACGCACGCCGCTGTGTGGACGGGCCGTTACAGTGGTGACGTATTTTTGTAGACAGACCTGGAAGTAGACATTTCAAGGGCTCCCTCCAATAAAAGCAATGGGATTTTAGCATTTGATTTTGGAATATGTCTGAAAATAGGTTCTGCCGCAAACACATTTTTATTGTATATACACGTTTTGTTCAGCAAATAAAAAACCATTGACTGCGAGACAAAGTGCTAAAATGCTAACTCATTCAGAGTTTAATCTCTCACACATACTCACCCCACTGTTATAGAGCTACAGCAATGTATTGCTCCGTGACTAAAGGCTTGGACACACCAATCTGACAACAAAGAACTGACACAGACGGACCCCGACTGTTGCGTCGCCTCGCGTCTCTGCGTTTTGGCCATGTGTAGCACTGGAACACACCGCAAAGACTTCAGCCGACGGCCAAGAAGCATGTACGAACTGCGCATGCTTGAGTGGCAATAAGTCTCCTTACCAGCAGGCGGCGGTAGTGCGTATTCGTCATTGAGGCAACAACCGGAAGACAGACTGCTTGATAACTGAGAAAAGAAGAACAGACTGCGTGATATAAACAAACAACAAATAGCGTGTGCGTTCCATTTTCACTCTACAACGAGAAGCTCATGGGGCTTTCCCCAACCTGTGTCGAGAGCTGGAGTTAAATGAAATCTCAGGTTTGCCTTCTTAATAGTTTGTTTGGGTCCCTCACTTCCGTTTCGCTTCTCATGCACTGATTCGCTAGCTTAACAGCCAATCAGAGTGATTTCTTTTGCCGACTGCCTTTGGCCGACTGCCCTTTTCGGCCGAAAAGGCGTCGGCCCGGTTGAAAAGCCCCGACGGTGTGGGACACACCAATCTGAGTAGGGCGTGTCGACGCTCATCGTCGGCCTGACACCCACCGACGCCGATAATCGGCCTGGTGTGTCCGTGCCTTTACCATATACTTTTTCAGTTTTTGAAGGTCTTTCCCACATTATACAGGACCTTCTAATAACCATCAATATTAAATGGTACATTGATAGTGAATAAAACGTTTGTTATTTTACTGTTAACAACACATTTTAGGCTAATAAATAATGTTTAAGAAGCATTAGTAAAGCTAAACCTTATGTCATTTGATCAGAATCTGAAATCCTACAGTCCATTTTTGAGAGGGTGTAGACTAGATTATTCTGCTCTGCTTTGAGAAGTGGGGGGGCTACTTTAGACTCTTCTTTTTGTTCAGTGAACACTCCCTGAATACCTGAAAAGCTGTCAGTGTTAGAGCAGCCGCTGCTACAGCACTGCTGTCTCAACGGTGACACTTCCCTCACCCTTGAGGAGCCCCCTAAAATGCAACATGGCAGACAAACCTGCCAGACCTTGCTGACAAAGCCACCAACATCACAATGCCGAATCAGCAGCGGAAAGTGCGAGTGGACCACCTTATAGTAAAGGACATCAATGTGAACAGGAGAAGAAGAGGAGATAAAAGCTGACATGACCCTTTGGCGCTGTATATTTCAAACTTCTAAACCAATTAGGACATCTAACGGGTCCAAACTTTGGAGTGACACATTTTACACATTATCACATACTGGTAATGTCTTTGCTGGAGCAAAAAAATGTTGTCGATCATTTTTTTAAACCATTATTGTATAATGACACGTCAATGTGACACCATGAAGCCTGACTTAAAGGGTTATCAGTGAGAGTGGATTCAACTGTTATTTGAACACAGTCACATTCCCCTGTATCTCACCTACATACTGCTGATAAATAATATCCCAAAAAGCCATGGATGATGATATTTTTTTCCCGGCCTAATGTAAGTTCTTATTTCACCTGTTGTAACAGACAGGTCACTTAACACATCCTCATAATTTCTACCGAGACAACTTCATAATACAGGGGTAGAGGAATGAGTCCTAAAACCTTTTAATGACTTAGCATTTTACCACATCCCTTTTACTCCTAATTTTTAAGTCAATGTTGTTTTATTACATTTGTGGTTAGATGCCTAAAATAATAATCTTTTAACAACGGCTTAAAGGTCTCCTATTATGCTATTTATAGGCATATATTATGGGTCTCAGATATACAAAAATATAAAAAACATGTCTATGATGTGTTTTTCTCAAAATACCAAACAGATCATGTATTTTAGACATCCCTCATATCCCTCTGTTTATCCCTGTTAGAGAACTGCAGGTTTGGGGTCCTTAGCTTGAAAACAAAAAAAGAGGAAGGGGAGCTAATGCCTGCTCAGAATTCTACCGGCAGATACAGCTAAATACTGCCGTGATTAAATGCCATATCATGTTCCAAACCACATCAAGGATTATTTCTGAAACAGTATGGAGCTCAAATGCATTTGTTCTTGAGGGTTTGCCACAAGGTGAGCTCCTTTTTTTATTTCCTGCTTTTTTACACATACAGGACTGTCTCAGAAAATTAGAATATTGTGATAAAGTTCTTTATTTTCTGTAATGCAATTAAAAAAACAAAAATGTCATACATTCTGGATTCATTACAAATCAACTGAAATATTGCCTGAGACTGCCAAGGCACATATTGCTGATTATGGCATACAGCTTAAGAAAACTCAAATATACTATCTCTAAATATTAGAATATCATGAAAAAGTATACTAGTAGGGTGTTCAACGAATCACTTGAATCGTCTAATTAACTCGAAACACCTGCAAGGGTTTCCTGAGCCTTGAAAAACACTCAGCTTGGTTCAGCTGAGACTGCCAAGGCACACNCTCCGTTGTACCACCGTTTTTAGAGATTTGGATACGGAGGAAAAGAGAGAGGGTTTTATTCTTTGACACTTTGTGAGTTCCCTGACACACCGGGGACACATATTTATGTATAAAAGACATCAAAAAGTGCATTTTGCCTGATAGGAGAGCTTTAAATGCTGTTTCTCTTTGATTATTGGAAGCTATGTGTCTGATTTATTTTTGTTTCATCTCAGCTGTGTCTCACACAATCCCAACCTAAACTATTTTCG